TGCTAATTATTACGCAGTGAATTTAGACCATCTGTGGGACATGATTATTTCTATCATATATATATGCATCTTAAAATTAGTTTAAAAGTTGGTTAGGGCATTTGATATTTATTACATCATGCATGAATTTCTTTCTTGTCATATTGAATTTTTAATTAAGCATGTACTTTTGGTAAATTACTTGCCAATGTTTTATTTTTGTAATGATTCTATATTATACCTATCACATACTTAGCCATTTTAACAGAAGTTAATGTTACATTTTATAATTTCTATGAAGAATATTTTACAAATTTGATAAAAAATAAATGAATTACAGTTCCTTAAGAAACAAAAAAGAGCACAAAACAGTTCGAGGCCAGCCACACATCGCACTTATATTTAAGCGATTGAGAGACAATATAAAAACCATCTATCCTTCTGTATTTAATAATCCAGAGGTGAACAAAAGAATTAGATCGAATATATATGATATGTACGTACTGGTACCTTCTGACAAAGTAGGTAACAAAATTGTCTTCTTTGTAAGGCTCATTATATAATAAATATATATTAAATTGGATTTAATTTTATAAAATTTAATGGCAATCCTTCTTATACTCGTAGCTCCCTTTCCATGAGGGAAATGCTTTAAACATCATACGTCAGTTTTTAATATTTTTAATATTTCAAAAAACTATAATGAATTTGAATTGCATATTTATATTGGATTCCGAAACTTCATAAAAATCCTAATTAAAAAAAGACAATTAATGTGTCCTAGTATATGTTCTACCTTGCCTCTTCCTTTACTCCTCAATAAGATATTAACAGTAGTGAATGAGAAATTCAAGACGTACTGTGCAATAATATATTTGTGGTGTAAATCAGATGTTGATGCTTAGAAATTCCAAGGAACTTTTGGAAAATTTTTAATTACAAGATTTTATTAAAATGAACAGTAGTAAAATGTCTACTTTTTAACTTTATATACAACCATTACCCACGATAGATTAAAGTCTTTTAGGATTTAAAAGGCTTTTTGATATTATCGAGAGCCGCTTTTTCAATTAAAATAGAACGAGGTAACATATTGTCAAACAAGTTGCTGAAACAAGAATATTAGCAATCTCGTTTAAATTCATCATTTCGTAAGTTCTATGGTCGATATAATGACCTTGTCAGCAAATACAATTTATAAATAAGTCAGATGTTGTCTGACGATTTTCATACTAATTGTTAGGACATTATGTACGCACTGAATTGTCGACGTATTTTTCCGTTATTTCTCGATCATAACAAAGAGCACACGGCCTTTGTGTCTGGTTTGCAGGAGATGCTCATTCCTCCTTGGCACCTGACCCCTCCTCTGATTCTTTGGAGGTCCGTGTTTCCTCTGCTTCGATTTTGTATTGTTTAATGGACTTTTGATCTTGAATGCTGTTATCTCCAAAAAATTCATGAACATTTATCCAGCTTTCCTTGAAACAGGACACTTCTGTTCGATCATTATTTATTGGGGTAGTCTTTTACATTTATTTACCTATTCTTTATGCATTGATTCTCTTTTGCTACATGTATACCTATGTACAGGAACACTGTATATGCAAATTTTGTCCTGAATAAAAGGTGTAAAACAAAGAAGAAAACAGATTATGCATAACAAATCGTATCTTGTTTCACAGTTTTACGATGGGTGTGACCTGTCGGTAGAGATGCTCACTCTCCATTGAACCTGATGTTACCTCTGATGTTTTGGAGGTGCGTGTTTGCTCTGCTCCTGTTTTGAAATGTTTAATGGATTTTTGAGCTCTAATACTGTTCTTTATCTCTACATATTTCATCCATCTATAATAATTAATCATTTAATGACAAATACATGTAAATGTTATCAAATAACCATTTTAATCATTGTTAATATTACGTCTACAATGGATAAAAGAAATATCTATCATTATGGAAAGTAACGTTATCAGCCAATTTAATTATTTTTTTTTGCTAATGTTACTACTTTAATTTAATTCAAACAGTATTGAAACCAGTTTAATTGACATCCTTTTCCATTAATGGTATAAGATGGAGTTGGATCATTTGTAACAATAAAAAGATACCATAGGTAACTGTAGCTTACTACTGTTAACCATAATGAAAACATTGACATTATGAAAACTATAGTGGAAACTTAAACACTTTGATTAACTAAAGTAATGACTACGAAAACTTCATTTTCTATTAAATGAAATTAAATGATTCTACATGTATCAAAAAGATTTAAATTCTGTGGGAAAAATATTTAAACTTTTATTTTTAGAGACTTCACATCTAAGTCCTTAAATCAGTGAAATATTCTGGAGAGGGACGTTAAACAGTATACAATCAATCAATCAATCTAAAAAACCATTATACTGACTTTGAAACTTTGTTTAATCACAGTGTACACGTTGGCACTTCCATTGATCACTATGAAAACCTTTAAAATGCTTTTATTTACATTTTGTGGTCAGTACACTGTAGCTCAGTTCAACTACCTACCTAGTGCTTGCTGCGCCCGGAATCACAAAGGTCGAGGACTTTGGGTTTTCTTTAATGTCAACCTTTGGCTATTCTTTCCACTTTTTCTCAACTTAATTTAAGTACTACTGAATGATACTCATATAGTCAGCTATTATCTGATTTATTTCATACTTACATGTGATAGTAAATACAAGAATTTAGCATAGTACATATATGCTTAACGTTATAATAGCATTCGTTCCACAGGCATAATTTTGGTGCCCCGGGCTGATACACGATGCGCTGTGAAATGGAATAAAGATTGATCTCTGTTAATGTACATTCAAAAATCAAGAATATTAAAATGTTCACTTTCTTTTATAATTCATCAACCATCGGAAGGTATATATAAGTCGTTAAAATGGGTAGCAACTGTTCCTTCGCCATGTGCTCGGCACTTTCTCTATATTTTTTTCAATGGCCCTGAGTGCCGAGTAAAGATCAAAATTTGAAGCCCTTCACCGGCATACGGTGACGTCTCCATATGAGTGAAAAATTCTCGAGAGGGACGTTAAGCAATATGCAATCAATCAATCAATTCTTTTATAATTCATCAACCATTATATATAAGAATGTTCAATCTCTCTATATTTTTTTTCATTACAAAAATGTATATGTACCAATCATTATATGTTCAGGCCATATGTGTACGTGACATTTTGTAACTAAGGCAATCTTTTCATATTTCTTCTCCTGTTTCTTCTCTTACTTGAACGATTCTTTTGTTTGAGACAATTTCCCCTTCCCAATACAGACCAAATAGGAATCGTTAATACGAAATCTCATGAGTGAGATTTCTTTTTCTGCCTGGGTAATTCTAGCGTAAATCTAATTCTCTTTCTTAAATGCGTATTTTCGGATTCTGTTCGTATAAGTAAACAAAAGCCATTCTTTGTAATCATTTCTAAGATTAGAATCACTAGTAGCGTCTAACAAACTCATTCCAAAATTTATCGCACTTTGAATTGTAAAAATGGAACCGCTACATGAATAGTTTATAAGATCATTGGGGTTCGTCTAGTAATTTCAAATAATTTGATCTTTGTTTATTAAGTTATTATTTCATTTACTCTATGATATGTATAGTGCATTTCTTTGTATAAAGCCTTTTAGGCGCTTTCAAGTTATAACGAATTCGGTCAAAATGCGCGGAGAAACAGGGTTACAAATTAACCTCATATAAATTTTGTTTAATATTTATTCAGTAAAGCGAAATGTAGACTGCCGTGTTTGTCGAAATATTTCCATTGATATGGAAAAATCGTCATGATAAAGCAAACTTCAGATCAATTAACATAGAGAGAACGATTATAGGCATTTGTGCCTGTTTTTCAATCTAATTCATTTATAATGACTAATATATATTTTAAACTAATTCATGAAATGTTTCATCTTTCGCCTTATTACCAAATAATTTTAATTCATAGATTACACTGTATCATTTACTACATTTAATATTTATCATTAAAATACTATATCAATTTGGAATCTTTATTTACACACTGAATTGACGGCGGATTTTCCGTTATTTCCCGATCATGACAAGGAGCACACGGCGGGTGTGATCGGTCAGCAGGGGATGCTCACTCCTCCATGGCACCTGATCCTACCTCTGATGTTTCGGAGGTCCGTGTTTGCTCTGCTCCTATCTTGTATTGTTTAATGGACTTTGAGCTTGAATACTGTTCATTATCTCCATATTTAGAAAAGGATCAGAGATGTGATGGCATATATTTCGATGTTTTTAAGAAAAATAAATCAGTTCTTCAGGGGTAAGGTTTACATCTTTGGTAGTTGCCATAACGTTGACCAATTAATATTAAGACATAAAAGATATAAATCATAACTTCTAAATTCCAATGATTTGACACCATTCAGGAGTATGCTGTTGATTAGAGAAAATATTCTGTTTAAGCAATTAACCACCACACACTATGTAAGTGCTTTGTCCCTGATTAGTGAATGTCGACTCAAAATTGATACATCTATATGGTAACGGGTGTTTCTAATTCAGCTGTTGGTATTAAAAGGAGACTCATAAACTTTTCTCTTGTCGTCCTTTTTGGGGGACAAAATGAAAATCCGGTACCAAGTTTTCTTGTGGTCAATACCATGAAGTGTTTGCATAAGAAGGGACGAAATGAGACATAACGCTAGAGAGAAAACCAATCACATTGAGGATTGTTTTACAAGCATGTATATATCCATTTCCATTTTTAAGAAATATCAGTAAGAATTGTGTTAGATGGATGTATCTCAGAATGATACATGACAAATGCACAATCATAATCAAGTAAAGAATCCAAGCTGAAAGCAAGTATTTACATTTTAAATAAGTGTGACCCCTCTCTCTCTCTCTCTCTAAGGATTTTTTTTTAGATTTATACTCAAGACGTCATAGAGGCCTCATAAGAAATAAAAAAAAAAACACGTATGGATTTCATTATTAAAGAATGCATTTAGGAAGAAATGGTTTACTGCGGTTTCAGAGTTTGTTGAGAAAAGGCATAAAAATATTTATTGGGTAAATCTGCATAGCGCGGGCGACTCTAGTGAGTTTACAGAGATCTGCTAAGCCGCAATCAATGCATCATAGACTGAATTATACTCACATTTTAACACTGGATATAGGGACATTCTCACGGAAGGTAAGACAAGGACAACGTATTTTTAAAACTTCATTTGAATTGAAATACATGTATATAAAATGCTTTCATTTTTTTTTTATATATGTTGATACAAAGAATAACATATGAAAACATAAAAAAAATACATATACAGATTTTAACATTTCATTGTTTTTATACAACCATCGAATCTTTATGGTATAAAAACTTAATTCATTATGCTTTTGACATTTGACACAATTTGTGTTATATTTAATGACTTCCCCAGATTTTACTTGTATTTTTACTTTTTACAACATTTCTTTTAACACATCAACCAGCAAAAAAATAATTCTTTAAAACTTTTCTTTTTCATTAATTTTTTGTTTTTTTTTTTGATAATCTTATTTAATTTCATGAAGTATTTGTACCTTTGACAAAATTAATATTAGTTTTCTTTGTTTTTCTTGTCAGTCCACTTATCACAACGAAAGTTATTAAAAATGCATTAAAATCACTTAATCGATGTTGGGGTAACTCTATCAAATGATGTAATTTTTGATGATTTTACACGAAATCCTCACTACGAGGGAGTACTTACTGATCTCATACATTTCATAAGACTTAGGTGCACGCCTATCTATATGCTTTGAGTTCGTTCATGCCATCAAATTAATATCAGAGGAGGAAAATATATTACGCATTTTTGCGCTTTTGGAAGCTTCTTCATATTTTAAAATTGCACTAGATTAGTAAAGACTTTGATGGCATACAAGCTACTTAACTTTATGAGAAATTCTATAAATTGAAACTTCAACTTTTTTCATCTTCAGCATTCCTAATTTCTGTGACATCATAATTTAATTTTTTTTCTATCTAGTAAATGTTTTTATAGTTATAAAATATCTGTTCTATTCAGTGTCGTTAAAGATATTAAAGTGCTACTAATTTTGATTTCATGTATGGACGATAATTCACCATTATAAAACAAAAATCATTTTATTAATTCCTGTTATTATTCTCAGTTTAATTGCATTTATATGTAACGTGTAACGTATTACTTGTTAAGTCTCCAAAATTCCAACATAATTCAATACACAGATCTGTAATTTTGATAAATGCATGATTTAGTTCATGAAAAATATGGATATATCGAACAATATTCAGGTTCAAATGTTAATAAACAATACAAAATTGGATCAGAGCAAACACTGAACTCCAAAACATGCAGGGGTGGGATCAGGTGCCATGGAGGAGTGAGCATCCCCTGCTGATAGGTCACAAACGCTGTGTGTTTTCTGTCATATTCGTGAAACAAGGGAAAATTCCGTGATTTTAATCAGCAGCCATGAACTTCTTTAGCACGACGTGTTGAACGAACATAGAGGATTACTAATTAAAAGTATTACTATTTAAAATTGGGGGCTAATGAGTTCAAGTTTTAAAATATTCCAAAAAGAAAATGACTTCATCATAATTCATGCTTCAAAATTTAGTTATTCGCGTTTCATTGATATATATGCACATGTGTTAACATAACATTAACACGTGTTTTTGGGATAAATCTTATAATTTAATTTTTAAAAATTGTATATCTTACGCTTTAATGATTTAAGTATCTGATATGAAACATTAGAAAATTAGTTATAGGATAACAATTTACAGAGTGAAACAAAAACCTGAAGAAACAAGATGTCGTTGTGAAACACTTATTACCCCGTATTGCAGCTTATGGGGAGGGTTGAAGTTTCTCCAATGCAAGTCAAACTCTAAAAGCACGAAGTCAAAATTGTAGGTATCCAAAGGAAGGTCTTGACACAGGGAATACACCTTTGAAATGAGAAAGCCCTATTACTAACGATTCAGAATTAATGATCAAGGTTAACTTTTTTACAAGTGGGCCAAACTCTAAGGTCAAAGTCAAAAGGTCAAATATTTTTATACCCTGAAAGGTCTTGTCACAGTGAATACACATGTGAAGTATTAAAACCTTAGCACCAACAATTAAAAAGTTATGACCAATGCTAAAATTCGGAATTTTTTGTTAAAATTTGTGAAAACTCCATGGACTAGGTCTCGAGGTCAAAGTGAGTGGTACCCGAAGAAAGGAATTGTCATAAGGAATACATATGTGAAATATGAAAGTCATTGCCCCACCCCCTCAAAAGCCATTGTCGATGATTTTAGGTACAAACATATAGACAGATAGACGGACAAGGCAAGAGCTATATACCCCGATTCTTCGATTACAAGGGTTAATAAAAACAAAAACAACATTTAAGAGTAACTTCTCTTGTTTTTTTTTTCTTTTTGAGTTATTGATTCGTTTTGCGTGTCCAATATACATGTAAGAGAAATCTGGTCAGCCGAACAGCTTAATCAAGAACACAAACATATTAATAAACTGGTCATATGACACCATTTAATAAATAAGTGAAATTAGTGGTACCATTAGCTTAATTATAGATGAAAAAGAATCTGTCAGTTCTAGAGAAAAGAATAATGTATAGCTTTTTAACAATTATCAAATACACTGCATACGATTCAAGCATAGCAGCGGTTTTTTTTGTTGTTGTTAGGAAACAATGTAAATATCACCGACGTATGAATTTCTTAATTCTAGCATCCAGATCCATGTCGGGAAATCAAGTTACCAGTATGTTCAAACATAATCAACAGATTCAAAACCCTTATTCAATTTCACTTTAATGAAATACATCATTAACTGATTTGATGTCATGAAAATCAGGCATTTTTAAAATTATCTTTCAATTTATCAGGGAGAATAACCAATAAACCTCATCTAAAGCATTTGACTTTTTCTAGACTTTTTTTTTATAGAAAGATTGCGTATCCCCAATTTCTAGACTTTTTTGATCAACACATTTGATAGAAAGATTGCTTCACATGCTAATTAAAAGGTTCAGAGCAATGAAATAGAGAGGAACTACCAAAATAAAATAAACTTAATTGTTTTTGACTCATTTTATGATCAACACATTTGAGAATTATCTAACATCTAAGGTTAAAATTAACAAAGTGCTTCACATGCTTTATCGGCAAAGCACATTAAAAGGTTGTATCTTTTTGGTTGACAGAGCAATTCTTGAAATAGATAGAAAATAAATGTCATTAGTTAGGAAACACCATTATGTAAAGAAATGATGAGTTAATTGTTTTTGAAGGAAAACAAAAATACACAATGCACTGGAAATTGTGAATTACCAATAATACACATCACTCTTTATTATGGAACGCCGTCACTGCCTTATAGCAGAACACTTATATTGTATTGTGTCAACCTTCCATTACATTATGTCAACTCTTTATGACATTAACCCACCCTACCATTGCATTGTGTCAACCTTCCGTTACATGATGTCAACTCTTTATGACATTAACCAACACTACTATTGCATTGTGTCAACTTTGCATTACATGATGTCAACTCTTTATGACATTAACCCACACTACTATTGCATTGTGTCAACTTTGCATTACATGATGCCAACTCTTTATGACATTAATCTACACTACTATTCCATTATGTCAACCTTCCGTTACATTATGTCAACTCTTTATGACATTAACCCACACTGCTATTGCATTGTGTCAACCTTCTGTTACATGATGTCAGCTCTTTATGACATTTACTCACAATACTATTGCATTGTGTCAACTTTGCATTACATGATGTCAACTCTTTATGACATTAACCCACATTACTATTGCATTGTGTCAACCTTGCATTACATGATGTCAACTCTTTATGATATTAACCCACACTACTATTACATCGTGTTAACTTTCTTTTACATGATGTCAACTCTTTATGACATTTACACATAGTACAATTATATTTCGTCAACTTGCATTTCGTTGTGTTTACTTTTCATGAGATCTTAGTTTTTATTAACTGATGTGAAAAGCTTATGCCATACTGTGCGCACTCTTCTACATTATGTCGATTCACTATTACGTTATGCGAACACGGGTATCCTCGGCCTTTATATGAGCATAGCGTTATTTCCGCGTTCCGAAAGCGCAAAAAATGGCGGGAGAGAAAACTGTCGTAGAAGTGATTCTCAGCGATTTGGGAATGACATCTTTAAATGAAAACTTTAAGTGACAAATAATTGACAATCTTGAAACGTGCAAAGCCTTAACACTGCGACTGTGAATTATTAAAGTCACGTCGAAATTCAATGGTGTTTACTTTAATCTCATAATTAAATAAATCAAATATTATGAGTCGTGCAGCAATCATTTTTTTCTTTTTATTTTGATTTTTTTTTTAAATAAAAATCTTAAACTTTGTAGGACATTGCATTAGTTTCACAATAAGCTTAGCTGAATTAAGTTGAAAACTTTTTTCTATACTATAAAGCCTTAGAGCTTCTCCGCTTTCCGCCCTTGGTCTCCAACCATATACCCCCCCCCCCCCCTTCTTGTTCAAGATTCCCATACCTGCCACTGATATGTGCCCATGCATGCTTACTAAGGCATATTCAATTGATTTAGATGAGTGACTGATAGATTTTTGTAATAGAATTCTGGCCCTGGAATGATTAAAAAAAAATTACTAACTCCAGTGACGACACGTAGCATCTTTTTTTTGAAAGAGGAGGTCAGCCAGAAAAAATCATTTACCCGAAAAAACCTGACAAGCCAAGAAAAAAAGTCCAAGCCCGAAAATCCTATTTCGGGGAAAGGGGTCCAACTTCGATCAGTCCTATTTTTTTTCCAGATATATTACATTACCCTAGTGGATTATAAACAAAAAGTGGGGCTGGGGGGGGGGGGGCTGTACAGTTTCAATGAACATTACATTTTCTATGTAAAGTTATGTCTGGGAAAAGAGGGAAGTTGATATTATGTGCCTGTAATTTGTCCTAATTAATCAGGACCCCCCCCTTCTTACCAGTCATTAAAACACGGTCGTCAACATTCATTATATACTAGATATACAGCTTTGAGATAATGTATATGTTTTTTAACATCAGGTAATGAACTTTTGGAATCAACATGATAAAGAGTTAACA